ATGTGATTGTCACTGTCACTGTTGTCACCCAGGGCATGGAAGCTCCAGCATGTGAGAAGGACCAATTACTCTCTAGAGCAGCTTCCTCCACCCAAGGTCAACTCAGGCAAGACCACTCACCAACTCACCCTTCTTAACTGCCATGAGGATCAGCCCTGCTGCTCTGCCTCTACCTCGGCCACCTTCTAGGCCAGGTGAAAGCTATGGGGACAGTGCAGATCCAGAGGTGAGCAGGCCTGCTGCAGAGGCTCTGCCTTTCCTGTGGGTTATGTTAAGCAACATTGCAACTAAAGGCTGGTTCAACTCTGCTTGCTCTCTCCACAGAACTGCTCATTCGCCCTTTGGCAAAGATGAACGTCCTCAGCCTATAGTCACACTATCACTAGATCCAACACAGGGGACATCACCTTCTGTGATAACAGCTGCACTTGTTGCAACAGGAAACATAAAATGCTAGGAATGCCTCCAGGGCAGACCTAAAGAGTGAAAACAACCAGAAAAGCCAGCTGCTTATTGTTCTGTAGTTTTCCGCTCCATCCCCAGCAGCCCCAAGGCTGTTCTAACTTGCACAAACTGGATATGGTGTTTGAAGGACACAAAACAGACAGGAGACAGCCAAAGCACAGCAGTGTCCACCCCAGATCTGCTTTGTCACATTCAGCATTTCCATCACTGAAAGGGTCTACTACCACACCTAGCATTTTCTCTTCAGGGCCAAGTCAAAAATTAACACTATTGGATATTTCTGTTTATCTAACCAGGTACCAATAAACAAATCACATGGAAAACCGGTAAAAACAAACAAAACCCTCATAGATCCCTTAACTAAACAAAACAAAAACAAACAAAAAATCCCGAACAAAACCTCAACCCAAGCAACTCCTCACTAACCAAAGGAAACATAGGCAAGTAAAGTGCAAACCTGCTAAAACTGAATGAAAAACTGTGTTCAACACAAAACATGTCAGCAAGTCACTTGGTTGCTTCACAACCTCAGACTCTATATAGGAAACTGCCCAAACCAAAAAGCCTGAAGCTCTATTTAAAGCCTGGTTAACTACTCCAGCTTCCTACAGCCTTGAAAAATTCTCCTGCTTCACGAACTGTGAAATAGCATTTGCTGCACTATTCCAGGTGGATAGGCTTTAATGACTTTCTTTTACGTGATTAAATCAGAAGACGAGGAATCAATCATTTGGGCTTGTACACTCTGCGTATTTTTATACAAATCTTGTCACCATTCTATCCCTCTGCTCTCCCATCTAACACCAATTCAACTCTTGGCATGCTGAACATGCAGTTTTTAGTGCCTGCTTAAATCCTCAGAAGTGAAATTGCAGATCACAAAACAGATACCCAGCGGAGCAGGCAGCGCACAGATCTGCAGAGAACAAGATATGAGCAGCCAAACATTCAGTTGAGGATCTGAAAGAGGCAGGATTCACAAATGTTTACCATGGTGGATGAATGGGGCAAAGATAAGGAAAAATATAACTCCCCAACTAGCTTGATATGAAACATACTGATTCAATTAGCACAGTAACTGTTAACTCCACCAAGCAAACAAAAGCTTGAAGAAAGTCAAAATTCAAATGATTGAAGAAAAAAAGCCGCAAAAAATCATTTATTTAAACTGAGTAGGAGACTAGTTAGGTTCTTGAACATTATGTCTAAATTCTCATGCTGCGGGAAGTATTGAAATGTAGGAAGCCTTTCACATACAAATTTGGATTAAGCTCATCCCATAACTGATTCAGCCATCTTAACTCAGGTCTCTAACCTAGTTCAAACCTTTCCTTGTAACCGATGAGTTTCAATAGCTACTTAACTTTTTTTGCACTATTCTCCAATTCAGGTATCAGTACCAAACTCAAAAGAGTAAGTTACAGGCATTTTTAAATATAAAAGTTACTCAACACTCCAAAACTGAAGTTAGTTATCGTAAGACAAAAGCCATGGCAGAGCTGTAAAAACAAGAGTTCCACTGGGATTTATGTCAAATCACATTCTTCCCAGATTGTCACAGAGTTGAAAATACAAGCTTCAGCTCTCCAGAGAAACTGAAATGGATAGTTCATATGCAAACCAAATCATCCTAGTTACTCTTAACACCACCATGCCCTTCAAATGCTTTAATTTGGGTAGTCCAGAACACACTGTAACAAAGTCTGGCACTGAGCCTTGACTTTGTAAGTACAAGAACAAATAATTTTATTGGTTATATGTAAAGATGACATGTTAGGGTACAACACTGCTGGTTAACTCAGTACTATTTTTCACATATGTTACATATACTCACATCATCAATATAACAGTATGATTATTATCATCATCAATTTGATTCAATTCCATATGAGGTTCATTTTACTCCTTTTACAAAAATTAATTGATAGAAGAGTGGAAAAAATCTATTTGACAGGATTTAAATAAACAACCCCATTCTAGGGGAAAAAAAATCTCCTGTTCACCTCAAAGAGCAACATCAAACAAATGGCAAGAAACAAATTAAAATCCAGAAGTCCCTGGTGAATTATTAATTCAACTGCAGGAAAATTCAACCATAATATTAGAAGTTGCAAGCCTGGAAGCAATAACCAGAAGCGAAGTCAACTACAGCTCAACAAACATTACTTCAGGTTTCTCTTTCTATCCCTACGCCTGCCTTACTGCAAAGAGGGCTCCACTCCCCTCTTTGCTCTCGATATCTGCTTTCTCAGCATCTTTGGTGTCTGCAGCATGTTCCCTTCCTTCCCTCACCAACCCTGCCCCACAGGGGTTCTGTGTTGTACTACTGTTCTCTTCAAAAGGCACATGCTGCAGCAGCTCAGAGCATGGAAAAAGCCCCACTGCTGCTCACTCCTTTTCCGTCAACACTGGGGACCTTGCTGCCCAAGACTAATGACATCAAACCCTTTCAGACTGTCAGCCTAGTTGTGGTCTCTCATAATACACAGAAATTGAGTTAGGGTCATACACAAAACAGAGACACCTCCCTAACAAACACCAGCCAGGCTTGTCCTGCCAAGTTCAAGCAGAACAAACTTTTCAAATCTCTTTAGGTAAATCACTGCAGAAAGACAAAAAAAAAAAAAAAATCTCAAATCCCTCTGAAATGGTACCTGCCATTTCCTAAAGGCATTCAGTCTGAGTCACAGTATTTGGAAAATTTGGAAATCTGCTCAAATGGTTTGAACCAGCAAAATTTAAGACCCTGTTTTCTGCTCCTTGGGTTCAGAGTGGATGTCCACAATAGGAGAAGGCTCAGCTTTCACCATTGGACAAAAAGAACATCTCCTAAAGAATATTCTTTGTGGTTCATTTTTTTCACCTCAGTTCAAGGACTAACATTTTTGTTATCAAAAAGGCAACTGGAATTTGACTAAGCGGAAAAACCTAGTACTCACTTCAGTCAATAAAAATGAAATTTAGAGTAAAGCTTTACACTCTTGAGGAATATGGACTGAAAATAAACTGATCCCCTCCCACAAACACCCTTAAGGTATGTGCCTTTCCTTTCAGCAAGCTATTTCATTTGAAACATTTCAAGAATAATGAACCCAAGCAGCAACAAAACATAAGAACATACAACAGCTTCATAATACCAATTTTTCCAGTGTTTCTTTGCAAGCTTCTCACAAACTAAAACTAGACTACATTATTCACCAGTTTCTAACAACATGAAATATATAAATATAAACCTGAAAATTCGAAAAACAGTATCTGAAGAGCATTCATGGCTGTATTACAGTGTCCAAGGCAACAAGCATCAGTTTAGTCTGAACTTCACTTACTAGAAATTAAAATTATTTAACCAATTGTCCTGGGTTGAAATTCTTCTCCTTTTGTTCCTTCTCTTTTGGAATTTTTTCATCCCATTTGTTGCTGGGATACCTTGATGGCCGAGCTGTTTTGTTAATGGCCGGGTGATTGAAGGGACAATGACACCTATGGCCACACCCTAAATGGGGAGACAGCTTTTGTGTGGTGGGGATTGGGTTTTTTTTTTTTTTTTTTTTCGCGGTTTGGGAGAGAGGAGGTGGTTTGACTCTACTGTGGCTGGCTGGAGGATTTTCCAGCTTCAGGAGGGTGAACTCTGCTCCGCCCCATCTCGTGGCCGCGCGATTCCTGCTCGTCTCTTTTTTTGGAGGTCCTGGATTTCTTCCTGTCCAGAAGAGCACTGGCATTTTCCGCTGTGAGTTTTGCAGAGAAACTTTTCTCCATCCACCTCTGCCATCTTGTATCGATCATCCCAGCCGCGGGAGATCTTGGCTAGCCGGGACCCGCACCACCACGTCCCCTGCAATCTCCGAGGAGTCCTCACGCCCTCCCTGCTCAGCCGGGGGCCAGCGGCGCCGCTGCCAACTAAACTGTAATCTCGACAAGAGGGAGACTGTTTCTATAAGGCTGTCACTAAGTTTGGACTGCGCTGTTGTTGCATTGTTATTGCTACTTGTTTCGCCTTGTTACATATATATATATATATATATATTAGTAAAAACTGTTATTCCTTTTTACCCATATTCCTGCCTGAAAGCCCGTGATTTTTTTATTTTTCAAAGCTATAATAATTCGGAGGGAAGGGGGGTCATAGCCACCACTCCAAGGGGGGTCCCTGCCTTCATTAGCAAATATCTGTCTTTCAAACGGGGACACCAATGTAAGCCAGTAAGAATTAATTCCTTTAGTAAAAGAACTTAAGTACTAATACTAGAAATCAGATCAAATGTGTAATTTAAGTCACTAATTCAAATGATGTTATTAAACTTCTGCATTTAAATATAATCTGCGCTGAGCCAGGCAACTTAAAAACATTGCCAATTTTAGACAGAAAACACAACAGGTACGTAAAATCTTCCATGACATTTGTACTTATTTATACCCCTACCATAGAGATATAGCACCCATAGCAGAATAACATGATTCAGCAAACAAAACTCAGCATGCACACAAATGAATACTTTTACTAAGTTTGATTGCTAGTAAAAAGAACTGTTACTTACTGCTATTTCTCTGCATGCAGACATGGAAATTCCAGTACCCTCTATCTGTTTTAAAGCGTAATCTTTATCATCTTTCCTGTGAAGAGAAAAAGAAGTTTGGTTTGTTTGGTTTTTTTTAATTGCACGTGAATTCAAAGTGAGCTCTTCAGTACTGTTCAAAGACCAGTTTCTAATTAAAACAAACTATGCATCTTATTTTATTTTTATTCTTTACTAGTTTAATGTCTGGATATCCAGCTAAACTGTAAGCTAATCACAACACCTTGATAAAGTTTAAATATGTCTGCTCGCACTACACTGAGATGATTTAAAAACTTTATAAAATGCAATGATTAACACTTCTTCCTTCTCTTATGAAAAAGGAAACAAAGCAAGCAATTAGTACATACTAGAAATAAGCCTAGCTAGGGCTTTATCTCACACAAATATATTACTGCAGGATACAGTAAGTCTCAGCCATATTTTAATGAATTCTTGAGTAGCCCAGAACTAATGTCATATATTTTTCTTTCTCCTAGGTACCAAAGTGCACCCAAAGTGCCTTAAAATTTTGTTCCTACCCGGGTAATAAAACTGCAAAGATTAATACAGAAACTCCACCAGATGTTTGAGCAATCTGAAGAATCCAGATGTGGATTCCAGTGGAAAGTACCCCTGTCCCTGGCATGGGGGGCTAGAACTAGATGACCCTGAAGGTCCCGTCCAATCCAAACCATGTTATGATTCTATCAAAAGTTTGTTCAGCTTCAAACCAATATAATATTTAAAAACAATACCATGCCCTCCCTGTACTTTAACCAGTATGTACCTTAGAGTCTATTAGTAACCCCAGCTATCAAAAGCAAAATCACTGCAGCAAAAGAAGGTACTGAACTCTTCCCATTCTCAGCCTTAAAGACTAAAAACATCTACTAGATGGAGTGCTTGTCCTTCCCAACTGTGGGCAAATATTCACAGCACTCCTGGGGGGCATGACACTTAACAGTAGTGCCTTCAATATTTGGAACACTTGTATAGCCTCAAATCTCTAGGTTACATAAGAAGCCTTATTCATTTTTAATGAATTCAGCTTTCGCAGCTGTGAAGAGCCACCCTAAAAAAAAAAAAAAAACAATTCGTGGAATGACTAAAAC